CGCCCGTCCCCGTGGCGTCGGGGCGCCCCCGCCTTTCCGCGCTCCCGTCCCCTCTGGCGGAGGGTGCAGGGCGAGCGCGGGGCCCGCAGTGTCCCCGCCGCCCCGTTCTGTCCCCGCCACGGCCATCGCGGTGTCGCCGGGACTGCGGCAGGGCCGGTGGCACGGGGGCCCATCACGGCGAGGTGACAGCGTGTCACTGAGTGCCCTGCGTGGCACAGGGGGCCAGCGCATCGCGGGGGAGAGCCGTGCGTGCCAGGGGTGCCGGCATGCTGTGGGTGGCACGCGGTGACACCATGTCACAGGTGGCACCACGCGTGCCCTGGGTGCCGGGGCTGCCAGCGCGCCGTGGGTGGCACGGCRTGACAGCATGTCACAGGTGGTGGCTTTGGGTGCCACGCGGGCCCTGCRTGGCACAGGGCAGGCAGCGTTACGTGGGTGGCATGGTGTGACAGAGCATCACAGGGGCACCCCACGCGTGGCATTGGTGGCACAGGGGTGTCAACACTGGGCACCCAACACCTATAGCACCCTGTGGGGTTAATGGTGCCAGTTCCTGTCCCCAGAGGTGTCTGTGTGGGGGGGTCTGTGTGTGGGAGGGTGGWGGCAGCTGGGGGGTGACCGAGTGGCCTCATGTCTTGGTTTCCCCTCGAGTGTCCCCTGCTCCTGCCACCCCCCGTCCCAGGGAGCCGTCGTGCGGCCCCAGTTTAACCAGTTGTCCGTGAGTCCCCCCCAAMTAGGAGGAAATTTAGGGGAGGAAATTTGAGGTGGGGGTCCTGGGGGTGCCACATTGTGCCCCYGGCCCGGGGTGTCCCCTGCTGGGGGGCTGGCAACAGGCCCCGGCATGCCTGGACCCCTCCGAGGGAGCCAATTCCCTCTTTTGGGCACGGGGTGGGCAATGGCAGGTGTAATGGGAGGGGGGTATGGGCTTGTGGGGCTGTGTGGTGCATTGTGCCCCCCTGCCCCAAACTGGGGGGTTCCTTCCCCTGGCTGAATGGGGGATGGATGGATGGATGGATGGATGGATGGATGGATGGATGGATGGATGGATGGGGGGAAGGAGCAGGGTGAATGCATGGCCTGGGGGCTGCATGGGTGGGGGGACGGGGCAGATGGGGGCAGCAGGGTGGGTGTATGGGGGGCACCCAGCTGCCGAAGAGGATTTGGCCTGGGGGGGACACCCAGCATCTTGACCCCCCCCGTCACCACTGAGCCCTGGCTCGTTAACCCCCCTCCCTAATGATCAATACCCCGGCATGGGGAGGAGGGAGAAGAGGGCAGGGGGGCCTTAATCCGGATCCGCGTTTTGGGGGCCTTAATCCGGATCCGTATTTCGGGTCCCCCGGGTGCCCATGGGGGGTCCGCGCGGGGCGGGGGGCGCCGGGGGCTGACGCGCTGCCCGCAGAGCCGCATCCCGGCGCGGCGCCGCGGCCGCTGCAGTCGGCCCGCTCGCTGCCGGGCCCCCCGCACTGCCTCAAGCACTTCCCCGTGGACCTGCGCACCTCCATGGACGGCAAGTACAAGGAGATCGCCGAGGTAGGCGCCCCCCCAGCGCCCCCCCAGCCCCACGGGACGCGCGGGGCGCTGAGGCCGGGCACAACTCGCCGCGCAGGAGCTGTTCTGCCGCTCGCTGGCCGAGAGCGAGATGCGCACGGCGCCCTACGCCTTCCCCGAGGAGAGCCCCATCGAGCAGCTCGAGGAGCGGCGGCAGCGGCTCGAGCGCCAGATCAGCCAGGACGTGAAGTGAGTGCCCGCTGTGCGCCGCGCCGCCCGCTCGCTGTGCCCGCCCTCGTGCCTGTCGCCCCTTCGTGTCCTTTACTTCGCTCTTTATTTTTTTTCCCCCCCATTTCCTCGTTTTTTGGGGTCCTGCGTGCCTCTGTGCTGGTTGGGGCATTAACGGGGTGTTTTCTCTCCCCCCCGCCCCGGCCCTGGCCCCCCCTCGCCCTCGTCGTCCCCCCCACCCCCAGACTCGAGCCCGACATTTTGCTCAGAGCCAAACAGGACTTCCTGAAAATTGACAGTGCCGCCGACTTACAGTGAGTGTCCGGCTCGGTGCCACCGCGGCTGGGGACACCGGGGGGGCACAGGGACCCCCTGCACCCCCGCCCGCCTCTGCCCGCTCCCCAGAACCCCGCGCTGAAAGCGCCGCCCCCGTCCCCTGCCCGCCCGGGCTCGTTGGCACCGAAGGGGTTAAAGCCCCCCCAGGTGAGGAGGGTTTTGGGGTGCTGAGGATGGGACCCCCCCCATGCGACCCYCCCTGCTGTCCCATGTCCCCCCCCAGCGTGGGCAGGGGCTGCGTGTCCTTCTCCCTCCTGTCTGCGCTTGGGGCACGAGGGGGGGGATGTTGAGCCCCCCCCCCCGCCTCTTGTCTGCGTCACGAGTTGTTCTGTCCTCTGTCCCCTCCCGCCTTTTTGTTGTGCTGGGGGGGGGGGGTTCCCGGGTGTCCCGCACCCCAGGGGGGTGGCATGGGGGGGGTCTGCAGGGGTCTGCGGTCTCACCCCCCCCACCCCGTGTCCCCCCCAGGCTGTACAAGGAGCAGAGCGAGGACCTGGTGGACCATGTCCCCAAGGAGCGCGAGGCGCTGCTGGAGCGCGAGTTCCAGAGGGTCACCATCTCCGGGGAGGAGAAGTGCGGGGTGAGCCCCCCATGTCCCCTGATGTCCCCCCCACCCTGGTATCCCTTATTCAACGGGCCCCAGGGATGGGTCCAGCCCGCTACAACACGAAGCCTGGCGGGACCCCATGGCCGCGCTGTGCCGGGATGCTCCTCCTTGGGGTTCCTCCTGCATGCCAGGGGGGCCCTGACCGCCCCATTTCGTCGCCCGTGCCCAGGTGCCCTTCACAGACCTGCTGGACGCGGCCAAGAGCGTGGTGAAGGCGCTGTGCGTGCGCGAGAAGTACATGGGGCTCTCGCTGCAGAGCTTCTGCCAGACCACGGCGCGCTACCTGCAGGAGCTCTCCGAGAAGCCCCCCGAGCCCCGCGGCTATGAGGAGCCGCCCGAGACCCCCGTGGCCGCCGGTGAGCGGGGCCGTGCCGGGGTGGTCCCTGGGGTGGGAGGGACGCGCCGGAGCCGCTCGGTGCACGTGCCGCTCYCGCAGATGCTCCCGTGCACCCGCCGTTCACGGAGCAGCACCCCTACGAGGCGTGGGACCCCCGCGCCATGCCCGGCGACCTGGGCTTCGGCCTGCGCGTGCTGGACGGCGTGGTGCACGTCTACACCAAGCAGGACGTCACCGACAAGTGAGTCCAGTCTGCCGCGGCTCCGCATCCCCCTTGACCTTCCTGCCTTTTTCCARCCTTCTCCAATCCCGGAGGCAGCGGCCTCAGGGGAGGCCCCGGGGGGCTGCGTTCACCCAGGGGGATGGAGGGTCCTAGCATGGGAGCTCCTTGTTGCGGTGGCCCCTTAACTACATTATCATTGAACCCTGTCCTCACCCTTGCAGGAGCACAGAGTTGGACCTGCCCTACCCCGACCTGCAGGAGTTCATCGCCGACATGAACTTCCTCATGGCTTTAATCATTAACGGCCCCATGTAAGGAGAAGCGCCGGGGTCTGTGTCCCCACCTCCCCGCCACGGGGACGTGCGGTCAGGGACGCGGTGGCCCTGAAGCCTCCTCCAAACTTGACGCCGACCTCCTTGCCTTGGGCCAGCAAATCCTTCTGCTACCGGCGCCTGCAGTACCTGAGCTCCAAGTTCCAGATGCACGTGCTGCTCAACGAGATGAAGGAGCTGGCGGCCCAGAAGAAGGTCCCGCACCGTGACTTCTACAACATCCGCAAGGTACCCGGCAGCGCCCGAGGGTCCCTGGCCCGGTCGGTGGCCGCTGGGGACAAGGGGACGGGTTCGGAGCTGCGTGTCACCCTTGCCGGCGCAGGTGGACACCCACATCCACGCCTCGTCCTGCATGAACCAGAAGCACCTCCTGCGCTTTATCAAGCGGGCCATGAAGAAGCACCTGGACGAAATCGTCCACGTGGAGAAGGGCAAGGAGCAGACGCTCAAGGAGGTCTTCGAGACCATGAACCTCACTGCCTACGACCTCAGCGTGGACACGCTGGACGTCCACGCGGTACGAGGGCCCCTCCCAAGCCCTGGAGAGGAGCGGCGACACCGGCCCGTCCGCAGCCGGGCTGGGGCATCTGCTCCAGGGGTGGCACGGTGCCAGGGCAGGGCTGGCAGGTGTCCCCAGGGTGTCCCCAGGGTGTCCCCAGGGTGGCGGGGCTCACGCCTGCCTCTCCATGCCAGGACCGCAACACCTTCCACCGCTTCGACAAGTTCAACGCCAAGTACAACCCCATCGGCGAGTCCATCCTGCGGGAGATCTTCATCAAGACGGACAACCGCGTGGCGGGGAAGTACTTTGCCCACATCATCAAGGTGAGCAGCCCCGGGAGGTGTTGGGGCGCTAGCAGACACCCTCCCGATCCCCTTCCTCCACTGGCCGTGGTGGCCAGCACCCAGCGTGGGGTGAGGTCCCTCTCATCCCCCTTGGCCGGTGGTGAYGGGTGACCCTTTCCCCGGGTGGCAGGAGGTGATGTCCGACCTGGAGGAGAGCAAGTACCAGAACGCYGAGCTGCGGCTGTCCATCTACGGGCGCTCGCGCGACGAGTGGGACAAGCTGGCCCGCTGGGCCGTGAACCACCGCGTTCACTCCAACAACGTGCGCTGGCTGGTGCAGGTGCCCCGGCTCTTGTGAGTACCCCAGYGCCCACCGCCCGCGGGGGTGACGGGGCACCCTGTGCTGAGCCACCGCCATCGCCCTCGCAGCGACGTCTACCGCACCAAGAGGCAGCTGGCCAACTTCCAGGAGATGCTGGAGAACATCTTCCTCCCGCTCTTTGAGGCCACCATCCACCCGGCCCAGCACCCAGAGCTGCACCTCTTCCTGGAGCATGTGAGCATCCTGCCCTGCACCTTGGGGACCATTCCCCCGGTCCCCCTCCTCGATGGCAGGTGGTTGGGGATGGGAGGTGTCCCCATGGAGGTGGCCACCACCAAGCCCTTGCCCGCAGGTGGACGGCTTCGACAGCGTGGACGACGAGTCCAAGCCGGAGCATCACATCTTCAACCTGGACAGCCCCTTGCCGGGCAACTGGGTGGAGGAGGACAACCCGCCCTACTCCTACTACCTGTACTACATGTACGCCAACATGACCGTGCTCAACCACCTGCGCCGGTAAGCGGGGCCGGGGCGGCGGGCGGCAGCGGGGGTCCCACGGGCGCTGCTGACGCCGTGCCCGCAGCAAGCGGGGCTTCCACACCTTCGTGCTGCGGCCGCACTGCGGCGAGGCCGGGCCCGTCCATCACCTCGTCTCGGGCTTCATGGTGTCGGAGAACATCTCGCACGGCTTGCTGCTGCGCAAGGTGAGCGGCGATGGGGCCGCCTCGCGTGGGACCCCCGGCCGTGTGCCCACGGGCCGCGCTGAGCCCGCCGTGCCCCCCAGGCCCCCGTGCTGCAGTACCTCTACTACCTGGCGCAGATCGGCATCGCCATGTCCCCGCTCAGCAACAACAGCCTCTTCCTCAGCTACCACCGCAACCCGCTGCCCGAGTACCTGTCGCGGGGGCTCATGGTGTCCCTGTCCACCGATGACCCCCTGCAGTTCCACTTCACCAAGGTGAGCGTGGCGGGGGACAGCACGGGGTGGCCATGTCCAGGAGACACCAAGTTCTGGGGTTCCACCAACGAGTGTTCTGGGGTTCCACCAAGGAGTGATCTGGGGTTCCACCAAGGGTGGGCTCAAGGTGCTGGAGGCCACCAGGCTTCCCCAGGGAGGGCTCCACCATGGTCCTCCTTGGTCGCCGGTCCTCGCTGGCCGCAGCCGCTCCTCTGGTGCGGGATGAGGGACACGAGGGCCGCCGCTGTCCCCGCAGGAGCCGCTCATGGAGGAGTACAGCATCGCCACGCAGGTGTGGAAGCTGAGCTCCTGCGACATGTGCGAGCTGGCCCGCAACAGCGTCCTCATGAGCGGCTTCTCGCACAAGGTGACCCCCCCGGCGCGGTGCTCGGGGCCGGCGGCGCCTCGCGCCCGCGGGTCCCCAACCCTGCCCGCCCCCCCAGGTGAAGAGCTACTGGCTGGGTCCCCACTACCTCAAGGAGGGCCCGGAGGGCAACGACATCCGCCGCACCAACGTGCCCGACATCCGCGTGAGCTACCGCTTCGAGACGCTGTGCCAGGAGCTGGCGCTGCTCACGCAGGCGCTGCGCAGCGCCGAGCTCGAGCCC